CTTGGCAAAAATTCTCAGAAAATGCCTCTCTGGATTCTAATCTAATCTAATCTCATAAAAATGGAGCCAATACGAGAAAGCATCCTGGAAAATGATAAGGTTAGATGACGCCTAATACTTTTTCTTGTCAATATTGATGCTGGCAGCATATCTGAGATATTATACCAAATCAAAACGGCCAGGTTTACTGCGTTGCAATTGCCGCAAGGATGATTCTTTGAAATGAATGTTCAAACGTGTTCAAATAACAATATTCATACAACAAAGCATTTCTTGAATCCACAGAAAGGGAAGGGTGCGTGGACATACCGTAGAGGAACCTTACTGCATATAATATTGAAATCAGGAAGCAGATCAGAAGATCTTGGATTTAAACATGTGAACCAATTGAAAGAACTCCTATAGTTTCTAGATTACAAAAGTTCATACGATTGAACTGTGTAATCTAAAACGACAGGATGAAGTTTCAACTAACAGTCTACGTGTTACTTTGTATTTAATAATGGAGAAGCATTTTCCAGGTTTGGATGTGAACATGGATTCAGCTAACTCGGATTGTGTAGAAAGTAAAAGATGCTGACCTTTTAAGCGTCTTTCAGAACAGGAAATACCACATCAGAGGTAGCTCATGAAATCTTCACGAGAGCCAAAGAGAGTAGAAGATGCGGTGAGATCCTGTCAGCCTTTTAAATCTGCTAGTGTGGATGGAATATTCCCAGTATTGATTTCAGGAAATCTGACCTGGGCCTAGATCAAGGCAAAAGAGCAGCCGCTTAGAATGGAAATCTTTCACATTGGCCGACTAGGGGTGTGCAGGATGCATGAGTGACTGAATGTGTAATATTTTCTGAGTCTCTGATTCCACGCAATTTTGGAAAATCCCAACATAATGTGTAATGTGTATGTTTTAAATTGAGCAGAATATGTAGATAGGTAACATTGGAGTGTATGGGAAAAATATAAGTTTAGATAATAACACAATACATTACAACATATTGGCAAAAATGAGCAAATTTAAGTGCCGCACGTAATTATCAAACTTCACGGTAGTTCTTTTCAGAATGATTCTATAAAGCATACTACTGGTATTCTGTCTGGTATATCTATCAAGCCTGTTCTATAAAACTCTAGGACTTCTTCTTCTGCCATGAAAATGTATTTGAAATTCTCCTCAGCAGCTTGCATGAACATGACTCCGTCGTCATGAGCCCCTAGGTCTACCTTTGCTTCTAAGTCTTTCTGGGATCCAGCGGTTACTTGCAGATGTCACCCCTTCGTAGTGTTTGACCACTTTAGTTCTTGAATTTATGTTGATATCAGCTTCTAATGACATCGACGATGGAGCTCGCCGTACGCGATCCAGAAATGAGGCTACCAGCCCCCTCCAGAATGATCCAGACTCCGTCCAGATATTGTTGGTGATTCTAATACCGACAATTTAAATGATATGAATCTTCAAAAACTTTTGGAGGGGACCAGGCCCCCTAGGCAGCCCCATTAGCTACGCCAATGGTCACAAGGCACGCATTATATATCGCATCGAGCATCGTTTAATGAAGACCTGCAGCTATTGAGTGATCTCTGCTGATACGAATTGGCGTATACCAGAACAGATTTCACGTTGGGATTGGCTATTCGGATTTTTGTGCGTTAACTAATCTGATTTGCTCTCCAGATATTTCGTTATAGCAAAAGCAGCCCTAGTTCTCTTGATTCGTTTACCTACGGTGCTCTGGCTGCCAATATATTAGAAATTTTCCACTTTTTGCCCAGCTAACCGTAAAGTTGGAAGGGTTGTCCGTGGTGACATCGAACAATTTGGTCTTGTTGACGTTGGTGGTTAGACCCACCGCAGAAGAGCGTACAGTTAGGTCGTCGAGCTTACTCTGCATATCAGAGCATCGTTGTGCTAGTATAGAAACATCTTCAGCCAATCGAAGTCTTTGAGATGTGCTATAGTGATTGGTTTTTTAAAGCAACCCACGGATCAGTACACGGGGAATTGCGCACAGCTGCGACGATCCAGCTAGGAACGGACAAGGTTTCATTTTGAAGGGATCTGCACGTGAAGGCCTTGTATTGCACTTCGACGAGGTTGACGATTCTCGTCCCAGATTCTTGTGTTTCAGTCGGTCTAAAGCTTTTTCGTAGTCAATGAACATCGAATACAGGGGCTCTTAGAATTCATTGACCTGCTGCAGAAGATCTTCCGACACGGAATTCTGCCGGCTGTCGTCGGAGTCAGGTTCATCTCCTCCTGTATCCAGTAGCATGATGCCTTTGCAATGGATCGATGGCTGTTGGACGAATGCCGTTCTCCCACGAATGCTTGGTAATAATTAATGACTACCAAATTAGAAAGTAAGATCCGTCCTACACTGCCCTGTGCGGCATAACAGTCCCATTAGCATTTTCGGCGATTATGAGTTATACATTGGAATCGATTGTCAAGTACCATCACTTTACAATGTACACGAATAAAATCCTACTTTGTTCAGAAAATGTCGCGAAAAATAACAAAACTATGTTGTCCCATCCATAAGAGCCCATGGAGAAAAAAATCTTCAAGCGCGTTTTTCTCAGCTTGCTGTTTTAACGAATGGGACAACTATGCTGAAAAGGGCAGTACAGCCATCGGTTAATTGTCGCTTTACGAAAAAGTCCATCAGTGGCCGAAAATGTCGCGCTGTCCCACATATTTGAGAAAAATTGGTGCAACATTTGTGCTGATAATACGAGGCTAGCATTGAACATCTCTGCTGATATGCGATCGACCCCGGGAGCCTTATTGGATTTCATATCATGCTCCATATGGCTACTTATTTCTCACAGCCGCGGAGGTGAGTTAATGCGCGTCGTAGTACTTCATTAAAAGTTATGAGATATTCGTTTTCGATACAATTGTCATTCATGCTTGCACATCTCACAAGAATCTTCAGCTCTTAGTTCTTATATCAGTTACCCGCGAAATGCATTAAAAAAGCGAATGTCATAACCGTAACAGCACCAGATTTCAACGTGTTTTTTAGCTCTAAGCTTATTGAAGCTAGTATAAGTTCTACTCCACGTCGTCTACATAGAAATATTCAATCGTCTACATATCCTAATATACAAGGTAATTTAATATTAGATCATTACCCAAGCGTGATATCTAGTAGAAACTCATTGACTGACATCAGTGCGTGATGCAGTAAGATAACGGATAATTACCGGCTTAGTGGACATCCTTGTTTCACACCTCTTCCTTTCCGGATTGATTTGTACCTCTGTAAAAACCATTGACTGGAAGTAATTTCATGAAGACAATTAACAACTATTCGATTGATCAACGCTTAGAGACTCCTAGATTGCTGAGAATAGCTGCTGCGTTCGAAATAGTCAGACGATCAAAGGCTAATTTTAAATCCTGCGATACTAGTATGGTGTAACATACTTTACGCCATATTTCATAAACTTACTTACTTTACTTACTTTTGCTAGGCCATTGTCCCTCAAGATTTGACCTGCTGTACAATATTGCGCCAATTAACTTGTCTCCAGTTTCTTGAGCTTCCCACACTTCCTAGATTTTGATCGCTGCGCTCGTCTGCGTCTTGAACAGGCCGGATTCGAGACAAACACAAATAAGTTTCCAAAATATCTACTGCAAAAACCATATAAAATTGCTCCTGAGTTCACTGATTTTAGTTACTTAGACAATTTCCTGTATTAATCCATAATTTCCTAATGGAAATTACAACTGTTGTAAACACATCCATCCAATGTAAATACTATAGAAATTTTTTAGAGTGCTACACAAGTTTTGTCGGCACTGTTTAGTTTGACAAGAATACGTTAAGCATTTATAGTGTATAGTGAGCGTTAAAGGTTCACCACTCACTGCAGGGCAAAATGATGTTTACGACGTTAGTACGCTAGTTTTACAAACCTGAAACAACTTGCTCGGAACATTTACCATGATAGGGATATGGTTTGTAGGTTCTTGATGTTTTAGAAGGTTTTAGGATTTGATCCACAATCACCTTTCTTATGATATTGGTCGTATTGTCTATTTTAGGTATATTTTAAGAGTACAAGTAAACAAAATATGTAGTACCCTCTATCAAGTTTGGGTTTCCATTCACCGCATGGATATAAATAAAAGTTACCTTTTTCGACAATAATCAATGAAATAATAGTGTTTATTATTAATTATTATGAGCAAGCATCTTAAATGAGTGAATTAGTGTAAAACAAGTGCTACAAACTCATTTTTTGAACGCAGTGGTTCAAGGGCACAACACGATATTTTCACCAATATAGGTATCGAAAGCTTCAGATAATGTCGCTTGTACATTTGTGACCTATTCCCACTTATTATGATACAGTATTGTGTAATTCAGTTAGACAACAAAATCAAAAGCTATATATCAAACATCAACAAGCCCTATTCATCCTCAGCCAAGATTCGAAGGTTCTTCCGCGTAAATCGCGAAAATAAATGCTCCCACTAGCAGCCAAAGAGGCAACCGTAGAAACCGTATGTAGAAACGCAAAAATGAGAGCATTGAAAAGAGAAGAATATGATTCCGTTTATGCGAAAAACTAGCAGTGAGGTTATGTTTTGACTATTCCATTTTTGTTATTGTTTTTAATATGGTCTGCGGGTGGGTCATTTTCAAGAATAAAAGGATAAGATATTGAAAGTCCTTTTGTGATCTTCCTCGGACAGGATCGCTTTTGTGATACCGAACAAAGGGGTACGTTGTTTACCTACTTGCAAAACGGATAGCCTCGTGTTTTGTTTACAATCCTTGTGGCTCGGGACTACGAAAGCACCCACGTTGTCCAGAAAAGAGACGACATTGCAAACAAACCAGCACCAGCAAGTACTCCTACCGATCGATTATAAACCACTGGATATTTGTGGAATTTGGACGTGAATTATTAACCAATTTGATTAATATTTTCGCACCACGTTGTTGACATTTTGGCAGATTTTTCCCTTAAGAATCACATACCATTCACTGCTCACTGTGCTCCATCATCCTAGTAGAGACCGACTCGTATTTGCATTCGGACAAGTCCGAAACCAAGCATTCCACACTTCCGATCACTATCCACTTTGGATTAAACTTTCAATTCCACAACAAGACTAATCCCTTCCTCCAAAAACACGCGACTGGTGCCGAAATTTTCCACTTTTTGATCGCTTCTCTTTTTCTTCCTCCGCAACGATAGCAAACCCCCACACCAGCCAGCCGATCTGATGAGCGGAGCAGGCGACCACTGCACACTTTTCACGTGAAAATATTTTCAATGGCTATTTTCGGCTTCTGATATTTTCACTGCCCAAACACCGATAGGGTTCAACTTTTATTGCTAAACACTGGTCAATCGATTACTTCACACGATGGAACGAAACTGTGCACCAAATTTGGCATTATTACTGGAGTTTTGAAGAATATATTGTGCGCGCCGAAGTAGAGAACACCGCAAACCGATACGCGATAATCACATGGAAAAGTTATCTAATGACAGCCGCGAAGTAAAACCAGCGAGGCAACGAGCCAAAAACCGACCGACTGTTGGTCGACTGACTGCCATCCAGGGTCGAACTCCGGTCCGGGTTGTTTGTGAGACATGAAGTCTGTCAAAATCAGGCGATGTCTGGCATGGTGCTGCACAGGCAACCGTGTCGTCAGGGGTGCGTTGTATAGCGAATTGTGTTGCTGATGAGTGAAAAGGCCTTTTCTTGAAATGATTTCTCGAGCAAAATTTGAAGTTTTCTCCCCACACAGCAAAACAAAAGTTGTTGAATTTCGAACCAGTGAAACAGCTGTGCACTAAAGCCCTATACAGTAAAATCGAGAGTAAAAGCAACTTATATGGTATAGACATCCCTTAAAAGTTGTTCCAATGTTTCGAGGGGAGCATCGGTTAGCTAGGGACCGAAGATAGTACTAGAGCTGAGCCAAAAAGTTGAGCACGTTTCTTCGGGACCTTCTGGTCTTAGAGTTACCACACAGCAAAAAAAAATGTAATATCGATCAACGTAATTCAAGCTGATGTATGATATATTGATGTAATAGCAAAAAGCAGATACAATATTACATCAATAGATGTAATTTTGTTAGCAAAATCGATGTACATCGTACAATGTGATATTACACAACCGATGGATTGACCTGGTTGCAGCAGTTTCGATGTAATATTCAACAACTTTTTTTGCTGTGCAACTGGTGTAAACTAACGATTTTAAATTGGCTCACCACTTGACTACCCTATTGGTCCCAAGCAAATCGACTAACGTACCCTATTATCAACAATCAATCAATTGACTAGCCTATTGGTCCCGAGCAAATCAACTAACGTACCCAATTCTTTTCGAAATTCTAGTACTATACTCTGTTAACAGAGTTATTAACAAATTTGTTTTGATTCACTATGAAAGTATGACAGATAAAATGAGGGGTTAGTGGATTTTCCTATCCTTCGAGGGGTGAATCGATTAGCTTGGGACCGAAGATAGTACCAGAGCTGAAGCTGAAGCAAAATGAAGGGTTCGTGGATTTCCTATGTTCCTAAGCTTGAGACCGAAGATAGTACCAGAGCTGAGCCAAAAAGTTGAACACGTTTCTTCGGGACCTAGTACCAACAATCAATACGAAACTAACGATTTTAAATTGGCTCACTACTTGACTAGCCTATTGGTCCCAAGCAAACGATTAACGTACCCCATTCTAGTTGAAATTCTAGTACTACGCAATGTTTGTTTTGATTCGCTATGCAAATTTGACAGATAAAATGAGGGGTTATCGGGTTTTCCTATATTTCGAGGGGTGAATCGATTAGCTTGGGACCGAAGAGAGTACCAGAGCTGAGCCAAAAAGGTGAGCATGTTATTTCGGGACCTTCTAGTCTTAGAGTTACCTCTATGCTAGTACTGCGTTACCTGACTTATAACGAATATACGTTGTAAACGAGTACCCCGAATACAACGTATAGTTCGTCTAATTTTACATTGCAAATGCTATGCAAAATTAGACGAGCCATACGTTGTATTCGGGGTACTCGTATACAACGTATATTCGTTATAAGTCAGGTAACACAATAGAATTTTGACTAGAATGGGGTACGTTAATCAATTTGCTTGGGACCAATAGGCTAGTCAAGTAGTGAGCCAATTTTAAATCGTTAGTTCCCACCGGTTGCTAATACCAACCGTTGGAAACTACCGATTTTAAATTGGCTCACTAAAAATGTTAAATCGATCAATGTAATTCAAGCTGATGTGTGAAATAATGATGTAACAGCAAAAAGCAGATACAATATTACATCAATGGATGTAATTTTGTTCGCAAAATCGATGTACATCGTACAACGTTATATTACACAACCGATGGATTGACCTGTTGCAGCAGTTTGGATGTAATATTCAACAACTTTTTTTTTTCTGTGTACTTGGCTAGCCTATTGGCATAGAGGTAACTCTAAGACCACTGGGTCCCGAAGAAAATCATTATTATTTTTGGCTCACTCAGTACCAGAACAACGGTCCCAAGCAGTCCCAAGCTATTTCACTCACCCCTGCATGTTCTGCATGAATCCACACACCCCTGATGTTATCTGTCAAACTTTCATAGTGAATCAAAACAAACATAGTGTAGTAATAGAATTTCAACTAGAATAGGGTACGTTAATCGTTTGCTTGGGACCAATAGGCTACTAAAGTGGTGATCCAGTTTAAAATCGTTAGTTTCGTATTGATTGTTGCTATTGGTCTCAAGCAAATCGATTAACGTATCCCATTCTAGGCGGAATTCTAAGACTACACAATGTTTGTTTTGATTTGCTATGAAAGTTTGACAAATAATATGAGGGGTTCGTGATAGATAGTACCAGAGCTGAGCCAAAAAGTTGAGCAAGTTTCTTCGCGACCTACTAGTCTTATGGTGGTAAGCTCCAACCGGTATTATCAACAATCAATACGAAACTAACGATTTTAAATTGGCTCACTACTTGACTAGCCTATTGGTCCCAAGCAAATCGACTAACGTACCCTATTCTAGTTGAAATTCTATTACTACACTATGTTTGTTTTGATTCGCTATGAAAGTTTGACAGATAACATCAGGGGTGTGTGGATTCATGCAGAACATGCAGGGGTGAGTGAAATAGCTTGGGACTGCTTGGGACCGTTGTTCTGGTACTGAGTGAGCCAAAAATAATAATGATTTTCTTCGGGACCCAGTGGTCTTAGAGTTACCTCTTTGCTAATACCATAGAGGTAACTCTAAGACTAGTAGGTCCCGAAGAATCGTGCTAAACTTTTTGGCTCAGCTCTGGTACTATCTTCGGTCCCAAGCTAATCAATTCACCCCTCGAAACATAGGAAAATCCACTAACCCCTCATTTTATCTGTCAAACTTTCATAGCGAATCAAATGTGTAGCACTAGAATTTCGACTAGAATGGGGTACGTTAATCGATTTGCTTGGGACCAATAGGCTAGTCAAGTAGTGAGCCAATTTAAAATCATCAGTTTCCACCGGTTGCTACACAGCAAAAAAAAAATGTAATATCGATCAACGTAATTCAAGCTGATGTATGAAATAATGATGTAATAGCAAAAAGCAGATACAATATTACATCAATGGATGTAATTTTGTTCGCAAAATCGATGTACATCGTACAATGTGATATTACACAACCGATGGATTGACCTGGTTGCAGCAGTTTCGATGTAATATTCAACAACTTTTTTTGCTGTGTAATACTTATAATTTACCACGAGTTCTGCACTAATACTTGTGCATTTCACAAACTTCAGAGAAGTCTATACAGTCTGCTTGTGTTTGATGTCTAGAAAAAATGCCTAGAATAAATCAGGGTTCAACAACGATTTCCAGAGCTGACAAATGAAATTATACAATTGATGCTTGAAAAAGTGGATTTCAGCGATGGTAAAGCGTTATATTTACAATTTTAAACATGTAAAGATTAAAATTAATATCTCATCAGAAAGTACGTTTAGTAGGCATAATTTAAGACCTGTTTAATCACGTGCTCGCAAAGCTTATTTTCGACAGCGGCATACAAGTCGGCTCCTCGTTGTGTCGCGTTAAGCTGCAATAGGTCATATAATCAGAACTGCTGCGAACGTTAATCTCTGGTTTCCTTGTTGTATGTATCGTGAGAGCTAATATTTGCGTTCTTGAAATTGCGAGTAAATAAGATTAATCAGAAACAAGGCTTCCACAGCGATTCACCTTAAGCGAAGACAACAAATCAAGAAGACTGGCAACTCTTCCGAACGCTATGAGACAGGTATAATCGCGTCATCTGCCGCTCAAAGGTAAATGCTTCGAACGAATGTGATAGCAAAGATTACATCCTCAGAAAAAGGGTTTGTGTATTTGCTAATTTTTCTATGCGTTGCTTCCACCTTCACTCAAGCGCAGCGCTATTGTATCTGTCGCTTGGATTCAGGCAAAGTTGCCAGTCTTCTTGATTTGTTTCTGCGCCTTAAGGCAGTGGAATTAAATGTAAAATACTAATCTTTTTTTCTTAATAAAAAGAATGAAAATTTCTAGACGTTAATAATTTAAAAACTACAGGGGACATCTCTATAGGGTTGTACGCAATGGTGACGTAGGACTACGCGGTCGTATATAATAAATGCTATTTTTTAACTGCAGCAGGAGCTTGTGTTTTGTGTAGGAATAGTAATTTGAGCGGGCTTCTCTCTGTTTATACTTTTTAGTATGACGCACTTGACATAGATGGTCCACAGCGACTCACAAACAGCCTTGATAGCTGGCTGCTTGCGGGGAGCCTTTTGTCGTGTGCTGGAGAACACCACAACTCACCACGTGGTAATTGAATAATCACCGTTTGGTGAGACCGGATGGAATTCAACTTTGAAATCTGTGTTAGGGAAATCGCTTCTCGCAAGCAATCGGTGATAATTTTAATTATCATAGCAACAGTTGCACGTTCGTGCAATTTTCAATAGTGACATTTTGAAAAATGATTAGTTCTTAATTGCGTAGAAATATTTCTGATAAATTGGTGATACAATTATTAAAATTGGTCCAAGGGCAGCTTTGTTATTAACGTTCAAAATCTTTCATAATTTCGTTACATGTTCCATTTTGGGTTTTCACATTGTGTACCCCCATATAGAAATCACAGACGTAGTCCTACGTAAAAAAATAAGAAAGATTTGTACCACCCAGACCATAAATACAGGGCTGTTACAAGATTTTCTAAATTTGATCCGCGAAATCCGCGATTTCTCAAAAGAAATCCGCGACTTCAAATACTAATCCGCGACAAAAAAAAAACTGTTTTCATTGTCTAAAAATAGCATTTGTATACTACTACATGGCATTTCAAGATTTTTGCCTGCTCTCAACTTAGTGTTCTTTGAAGTACTTTCACATTTTAATTGAGAGCTTTCTATGCCTGTACCATCCTATGCCAAAGAAAGTAGAGAAATTTTCTAACCCGAAAAATTAATAGACCGGACGGGAATCGAACTCAGTCGCCTCCAGCATGGACTTGCTTTGTAGCTGCGCCTTTACCGACTGAGCTAAAAGAGTATCGTTTGTAACCTTTGATTTTTTTTTTAAATAGCATTTATCATCTTCAGTTATTTATGTATAGTATAAATTCTGAGTAATTAGTGAACATAATAAAACACCCTTACATTATAAGATTCTATTGAATAATACCGGCCTAGATTTGATGAAACATTATTTAAAAAAAATGCATTTTCATTTGCAATGCATTTTTTTTTTTTAATTTAACCTTTGCGTCCCTGACGTATTTAAACCAAATACCCTGCACAGAATCGAGAAATTACCATAGTTTCATAAGTCACACTTGTTGGTCACGTCACGGTTGTGTATTTACACGGATATTCCTTGAGTTCTATCCAATGGTGGGACATTTTCATGTTTTTTTTTTATTTCTAATGTGAACCTAGCACTTTTTGTTGTCAAATAATAATCGAATCGTATATATGTGACTTTATGGATCATGCACGACTTATTACTATGTATACAGGAAATTACAGGTTTTTCAAATCGTCCAGGACATCCGTTGATTTGTTCTACTAGATCAACCAAGACTGCAATAATGTATGTAGTATCGAAAAATGTCCAATCTGATTCAAAGTGTCTATGTGGATCATGCATGATCTATTTCCGAGTAATCCAGATGTTCAAGGTTCTTCAAATCGTACTGGAGTTCAGATAATTTGATCTACTAGATCAACCGAGATTGGGACAATGTCTTTACTATCGAAATATTTCCAGACAGATGCACAGTGTATATGTGGATCATGCATGAACTATTGTCATGTATACCAGATGTTTTAAGTTCTCCAAATCGTTCTGGAGTTCAGATGATTTATTCTACTAGATCAACCATGACTTGGATAAAGTCTGTAGTATCGAAATATATCCAAACAGATTCATAGTGTATATATGGATAATGTTTAATTATTTCCACGTATACCAGATGATCTAGGTTCTCCAAATCGTCCTGCAGTTCAGATGATTTGTTTAACTAGATCAACAAAGACTAGGATAATATCTGTAGTGTCGAATAATCGATTTGGAAATTCTAGAACATTTGGCATACACGGAAATAGGTTGGCATGATCCACATAGACACTGCAAATTTATTTGGGCATATTTCGATACTACAGATATTGAATTAGTCTTGGGTGATCTAGTAGAAAAATAATCTAATATCCCAAATGATTTCAGAACTTATTACATCTTGTATACGTAGCAATAGGTCGGGTACAATCCACATAGACACTTTGAATCTGTTTGGATATATTTCGATGCTACAGACATTATTGGAGTCTTGGTTGATATAGTAGAACAAATGAACTGAACTCCAGGACGATTTGGAGAACCTAGAATATCCGGTATACATGGCAATTGCTCGCATATATACGATTTGTTTATGATTTGACAACGAAAAATGCTATGTTCATAATGGAAGAAAGGAAAATGTCTCACATTGGACAGACCTCAGGGAATTTCCGTGTAAATCCGATGTGACTTTGGAATTGAGATCATCTAGGGTTTTTGATCTAATTTCCGTCCTACTAAGGACATCCCGCACTTTACCACGCTTTTTGGAAAGCGTTTGAACAAAACATGGAATGTTTTCATCAAAGATAACTTCTAAATTTATCCACCTTTCCATACGAACCGTTGGATTTGATAAAGAGTCAAACAATGTTGAGATTTTATTAAAAATCTAACACTGCTTCTTGCTTCTAAATTCGTCCTACGCGTTTCAATTCCGTCCAAACGCATTGAAACGCCATTAGATTTTCTTCGTCCTACGGATAAACGGAGAAAAAGGGGATGCGCTAGGAGCGCTTCTTTTGTTTTGAGAACAATGAGCGTAAATATGCATACAATGCGCTCTAATAGGATTTATGTCGTAGCTAATGAACTAACGCATCGGAACAAACGTAGTATTGTTTTGTGCATGGTGAAATCATTGATATTATTGATGATTTCTGCTCGATAGAACGGAAATGGGCGATTACGACGAAGTAGCGCTCTTCCCTATATCGATTATTTGCAGGGTGTTTGGTTTGAACCGGTAAAAAATTGAGAGCCAAATGAACAACAAAATTGATGACAGCAAAATAATCCGGGACGGAAAGATTACAATGAATTCCACAATTTTTGTGACAGCACATCAATCCCTTCGCGATTTTCACGACATCATTTAATGATACCGCGATTTTCGCGACTGAAAATTCAAATCCGCGACAAATCCGCGAGAATCGCGAAATCCGCGAAATTCGCGAAATCCGCGCCTGTTGTAACAGCCCTGTAAATAATGTAGGGAGTTTGGCAGCTGTAGTATATCCCTATTTCTTTCACATAATTGAACTAGGGACCATTACGGACGCAAAGAATTCAGTTAAATCTGCAATTTAAACCATTTATTCCTGACTTCCATCTAGTGCCTGTTTTTGACTTTTCTTCTGGTAAATCCGCTCCTCTAGTTTAGCACATGCTTGTTCGATTTCGTAGTTCTTCGACACCAGCATGACCCACTGCGCCTCCAAGGACCGCAACTTTTCACCACCTTGTGTCTGCTTCGTTTTTCTCTTCCAGTTGACATCCTGGATCTCCTTCTTGATGGCTTCCAGTTGAGCCTGAGCTTTGGCTTGCATAGCCGTTAGCACCTCCAGGTAGGACTTCCACATTTCGCACCCATATTCCATCATCAGGTCGAGATTCATCGCCCGGATGGCCTGATGTTCGAGCTGTGCCATCGAGTTGTCCACACTCTCGGTCCATGCGGGTACTTCGGACATTTTGCCACCGGGTGGAGGTGGAAGCTCATAACGCTTCATGCTCAACGGTTCCATGGGTAGACGATTCTGGATTCGCTCAAATTCCGTCGTCATCAGTTCGCTTTCGAAGGCGGCCGTATTCAGAGTGGGAAGATGTTCTAGATAGTTTTTCGTGGGTCGGTAACGGCGGCATTCCTCTTCAACCATGGCGATTGCCTATTTTTTGTATAAGAGAATTATTATAAGTTTTTTTGTGAAATTATGAAAATTGAGCTCTTTTCAAAAGTGTATCGTTTAAACTATGGAAAATAAAATACCGTGCCGATTCAAATTTCGGACACTTAAACTCGAATTTCGGACACTTTTAAAAGTTGATTATCTCGGTCGAATATGATCCACATGTCTTGTAAATTTTAAATTTTTTTGACTAGTGCCCTCCACGATCATCTAACATTATTACTTTGTTTCTAACTGGATGTAATATTTAATTAAAAATGAAGGTGTCCGAAATTTGAGTCGGAACGGTACACAATACTGCTCACGTGAATCGCAAAACTACTTACTTCAGGGCGCAGCCAGATGACGCGACTAAAACGCTGGCCAGACCGCTATACTGAGCAGTTATAGAACATTCTTCTTTGCTTAAACGCCGGCCAGACTGGCGAGTTATAACATGTTATAACGGTTGTCAAATAATTGCAACACAGAAACCACCATCAAGATAGCGCTATAACATGTTATAACTCTGTAGTCTGAACGTACTATTAAGCGCTGTCCAGACTGAGCAGTTATAACATGTTATAACGGTTGTCAAATAGTTGCAACACAGAAATTACCATCAAGATAGCGCTAAAACATGTTATAACTCTGTAGTCTGAACAAGGCATTATAGCATTTTATAAGCTTATGTCATCTTGTCCATATTTATTATAACATGTTATAACTCTGTATTCTGAACGTACTATCCTACTTTCATGCTACATTATGATTGGGGAGTTATAAACATGTTATAAGGCTTTCTGGATGACATTTTTCTTGTTGATATGTTATAACTCTGTAGTCTGAAGAAATTATAAAATGATTCAATAATTATCGACAAGAAAAATGTCAAGTTATAACTGCTGCTGCTAATTTGAATTAAATGGAAAATAATAACCTTTTTGCTCTTATGAGTATTCCATTAACAACCCAATTTCATCATTCCTCGCCGATAGCTTGAAGTAGCCGGACGTAGTTTGTTCGTGTCTCCGTTGCGGGTATTAGTTTCGTAGCCGGTGGAGTTTTTTTTTCCCACCATAGTGGTTTTTTTATATCGCGCGTTTTACCTACCGTGGACGAAGTTCAGTGCCCAAGGCAACCGCAGTCAGCAGAGGAAGTAGCCACCTTTAGCGACGCTATAGGTGGACTATCATCTCACCGTCATCATCTCATCACCACTCCAAAGCAGCAAGCAACAACAACAAAGCAGCAAACGGAGTGGCTGCACCAGCTCACACAGCCGGCACCGGCCGGTGTTAAGTATTCTATACAATAGTCTTCTCTAGCCCATTGCCGCGCTTTTGTTATTGAATTTTGCGCGTGGCTTTGCCCTCTCCCCTGATAGGGTTGTGAGGGCTATAGTGGTGCAACTTCTTGCAACTAATAAAGTTTTTTTTTTTTTTTTTATAATTTTGTTATTGTTTTGTTTGGTTGTTCATACACTGGGCAACAAAATATTAACAACTAGTCGTTAAGTAGATTAATTGGTGAAGGTTTTTTGAAGTATTTTTTTTTTTTCCTTTTTAAGCGGTTGTGCACCGCGTTTGCGCAACACTTATGGCGTCTTCAGATACCTACGTTGCGCGAACTAGATACTATCAACCGTCTTCGAAAGGACCATGGGTTGTCTTTTTTCGGCCTAAAAATAAACCTTTGAAAACTCTCGACATTTCGAGAGACTTGCTGCGTAAGTATCCGGGAATCTTGGTACATAAAGAGAGATTCAATAAACTGCGTGTAGAAGCACCGACTTATGATGTGGCAAATAAAATTGCTGAACATGAGCTGTTTAGTGTTGAGTACAACATCTACATCCCTTCTCGAGATGTGGAGATAGAAGGTGTGGTCTCCGACGCGAGTCTGAGTGTCGAGGATTTAAAACGAGCATCGGGTTGCTTCAAAAACTCGAAAATCGGTCAGCAGGTACAGATACTGGATGTCAGGCAACTGCATTCAGTATCTTTGCAAGATGGCAAGAAAGTTTATCAGCATTCAGACTCGTTTCGGGTGACTTTCGCTGGTTCAGTTCTCCCAAACTTTGTCAAAGTTGATGGTGCTTTTTTTCCGGTGCGGTTGTTTGTACAGAGGGTATATAATTGTACCAACTGCAAAAGGCTGGGACACTCAGCCAGCCATTGCGGCAACAAAACTCGTTGTGGCAAATGTGGTGAAAACCACAAAGAGGATTCTTGCAACAAAGAATCAGTAAAATGCGCTTATTGTGGCGAGAATCCTCACCCCTTGCAGGAGTGCCCGATGTACAAACAGCACTCCGATAAAGTGCAGCGTTCAATCTCTGGACGCTCCAAGCAGTCATATGCACAAATGGTGAAGGCTGCATCAGCCGTCCAAGATGAAAATCAATTTTCGATTTTGTCAGCTGAAGAATCGGACTCTGACTCATCCGATGAGGGTGACTCTACGGTGGTACACGCACCTTTGAAAACGAACGGATCCTCAAAACGAAAATGCTCCTCCCCGAAAGTGCGCCGTAAGAAAACTAAAGTCACTCCCAGAGGATTGCAAAATTCCCAGGGTAATGGGGATGAAAAAATTAAATCGAAGGCTCCTACTGCTCCACTTCCTGGCTGCAGTAAGGATTTTCCGCCATTACCCAACAAAGAAAAGAAAAACAAAAAAGCTGCTCCTCAAACTTCTCAAAAGAAATCCAAGTCCGAACGCGGTTTGCTAGCTTTTTCGGACATTGTGGAATTCATATTAAATATGTTCAACATACAAGACCCTCTTAGAAGCTTAGTTTCTGCCTTGCTTCCAACATTAGAATCATATCTTAAGCAATTGACTGTTTCATGGCCCCTCCTTGCATCAATCATATCTTTCGATGGATAATTCGTCGAACGAGGTTGAAGATATGATCACTGTGCTACAGTGGAACTGCCGTAGTCTAGTGCCTAAACTAGACTCGTTCAAATTTTTACTTCACAATTCTGATTGTGATATATTTGCTCTCTGTGAAACATGGCTTTCTTCCGATAAAGAACTCAACTTCCACGATTTTAACATTATTCGCCTGGATAGAGACGATTCTTATGGAGGAGTACTTTTAGGGATCAAAAAGTGCTACCCTTTCTACAAAATTTCCCTTCCTGCTCTATCAGGCGTCGAAATCGTCGCTTGCCAAATAAATGTGAAGAACAAAGATCTTTGCATAGCTTCAGTATACGTTCCACCAAGAACCTCCATTAGCCGTAGTCAACTCTGGAATCTAGTTTCGATTCTTCCATCCCCAGTATTAATTCTGGGTGATATGAACTCCCATGGTACTGGGTGGGGCGATCTATATGACGACAATAGAGCGGCTATTTTTTACGATTTATGTGACGATTTCAATTTGACTATTTTGAACACTGGTGAAGCGACACGTATAGCAAAACCTCCGGCTCGAGAAAGCCGACTCGACCTATCTTTGTGTTCAAGATCGCTATCATTGGATTGTCAGTGGAAGGTTATCAATGATCCCCATGGTAGCGATCATTTGCCAATCATCATTTCAATTAAGTGTGCCCCTCACTCTGCAGAACCATCTCGTGTTCCATTTGATCTTACAAGGAACATAGATTGGCAGAAATATGCAACGGCGGTGACAATCGGTGTCGAATCAATAGATGCGCTTCCACCATTGGAAGAATATCGATTCCTAGCCGATTTGATTTACAAAAGCTCACTGGAAGCACAAAAAAGAAAAGTTCCAAGTGCACCCTTTAAAAGGAGACCAGCCACACCTGGTTGGGACGAAGAATGCACAAAATTGTATGTAGAAAAATCTGATGCTTTCAAAGCTTTTCGTAGACACAAAACCTCCACATACTTCGAGGAATATTCAAAGCTTGAGACAAAGCTGAAACAATTAATCAAAGCAAAAAAACGCGGTTATTGGCGCAATTTCGTCGAGGGACTCTCACGAGAAACCTCAATGAACACCTTGTGGAGGGTGGCTCGCAACATGCGTAACCGCTCATCTTTCAATGAGAGTGAAGAATACTCCAATCGATGGATATTCGATTTCGCTAAAAAGGTCTGTCCGGACTCAGTTCCAGCACAAAATATTCTTCGAGAAGCGTCTCCTAGCGGCGGCTCTCTGGATAGACCATTCTCAATGCTGGATTTCTCTATGGCTCTTCTTTCATCGAACAACTCCTCACCGGGAAGCGATATGATTAAATTCAATCTTCTGAAAAATCTCCCAGATATCGCTAAAAGACGCTTGCTAGACTTATTCAATTCCTTACTAGAAAACAACATTATACCGCCTGAATGGAGACAGGTCAAAGTAATAGCCATTCGAAAACCTGGCAAACCAGCGTCTGACCATAACTCATACCGTCCGATTGCCATGCTTTCGTGCATTAGGAAATTGTTGGAGAAAATGATCCTTCGGAGACTCGATCAGTGGGTCGAAACAAATAATTTGCTATCAAATACACAGTTTGGGTTCCGCAAGAGCAAAGGAACAAACGATTGTCTAGCGCTGCTTTCCACAGATATTCAACTGGCCTTTGCACACAAGGAGCAATTGGCTTCAGTATTCTTGGACATTAAGGGGGCTTTTGATTCAGTTTCCATTGAAATTCTGTCAGACAATCTGCACAGATGTGGACTTTCTGGAATTTTAAATAATTTCTTGTACAATTTGTTGTCAGAAAAGCAAATGAACTTTTCCCTTGGACAACTGACAACTTCCAGAATTAGCTACATGGGCCTGCCCCAAGGCTCATGTCTCAGCCCTCTTCTTTATAACTTTTACGTCAAAGATATCGACAACTGTTTGGCAGAACAATGCACGCTAAGACAACTTGCAGATGACGGTGTGGTTTCCGTAAGAGGTCCACATGCCGTGGACTTGCAAGGACCATTGCAAAATTCCTTAGATAACTTGTCTTCTTGGGCTATGAATCTAGGGATCGAATTCTCGCCGCAGAAAACTGAACTGGTAGTGTTTACTCGAAAGCGGTACCCAGCCCAAATGCAGCTTAATCTTTTGGGCAGAAACATTACCCAATCATTGTCTTTCAAGTACCTTGGGGTCTGGTTTGATTCAAAGTGCACTTGGAATGCCCATATTACGTATTTGAAGCAAAAATGTCAGCAGAGGATCAACTTTCTCCGTTCAATTTGCGGCACATGGTGGGGTGCTCATCCGGGAGACCTCATAACGCTTTATAAAACAACTATTCTCTCTGTTCTAGAGTACGGCTCTTTCTGCTTTCTCTCGGCAAGAAAAAGTCACCTAATAAAATTGGAACGAATTCAATATCGTTGTCTGCGTATTGCTCTAGGCTGTATGCACTCAACGCATAACATGAGTCTCGAGGTTCTGGCAGGAGTAACACCCCTCCAGAACCGTTTCTGGGAGCTCTCTCTCAGAATACTAATCAAATGCGGAGTGACGAACACACTTATAATTGCTAATTTTGAAGAAATTCTTGGGCTGAACACACAATCTCGATTTATGAGAATCTACCACCACTACATATCATCAGATATGTGTCTTCCTTGTTATACTCCAGACCGTGTTCACTTCACCAATCGCAGTTCCTCAATTGAATATGATCTGACCATGAAACAAGCAACTCATGGGATTCCCGATCAACTTCGACCTATTATTATTCCGCGTATTTTTACTGAAAAGTACCAACAAGTCAATTGCATGAAAAGATATTTTACAGACGGGTCCCGTCTCAATGGATCCACTGGCTTCGGTGTCTTCAATGAAAACTCTAGTGCCTTCCGCAAACTTCAGGAACCTTGTTCCGTTTTTGTTGCTGAGCTGGCAGCAATCAACTTCGCATTGGGGATGATTTCCAACATGCCCGCAGACCATTACTTCATCTTCACGGATAGTCTCAGTTCGATTGAGGCTATTCGGTCGATGAAACAAGGTAGGCACTCATCTTATTTCCTTTCAAAGGTAAGGGAGCAGATGTGTGTGCTGGTCGAAAGATCATATATGATTACCTTTGTATGGGTCCCCTCACATTGCTCAATCCCAGGCAATGAGAAGGCGGACTCTCTCGCAAAGGTGGGCGCGCAGGAAGGCGAATTGTATGACAGGCAAATTTCACACGATGAATTTTACCATTTAGTGCGTCAGAGTACCTTTTCGAGTTGGCAAACCGATTGGGACACTGGAAATCTTGGACGGTGGTTACATTCAATTATTCCTAATGTTTCTTCGAGAGCGTGGTTTAAAGGCTTGGGCTTAAGTCGTGACTTCATTCGCGTGATGAGTAGACTTATGTCCAACCACTACTCGCTAGATGCTCATCTCAATAGAATAAACCTCGTGGACAGCAACATCTGTCGGTGTGGAAACGGTTACGATGACATCGAACACGCAGTTTGGCAATGTACGGATAATGACGCCGCCAGAGAGCGACTTTTGAATACCCTCGAGGCCCAAGGAAGACAACCCTATGTTCCTATCAGAGACGTGTTGGCAACCCGTGATCTCTGCTATATGCAGTCCGTTTATGTTTTTCTTCAAATGTCTAGTATAAGAATTTAATTCCTTTTGTCTTTTGTCTCTCTTTATTAGTTTTTGTTTGTCTTGTCCCCCCGTCTCGATGAGTCTCATCGTCGCCCACTGGTCACCCACCATAGCCGGTTGAACTCCGGACGAAGCTAGAACAGCACTACCGTTCATACTGGCGACAACGCTCTGATGAGACAACGAAACCCTACCCCAAGCTCCTCCCCTGATCCTATCCTTCGAAAATGTACCCTTCTAACCTCGAGTAAGCCGCGAGTAATCGGCCCAACTCCTACTAGACATAGAATTAAGTGAATTTTGTTACACACAGTGAACAATGAATTATCGGCTCCGTAAAGCTAACGCGATTGAGCCTTCCAAATAAACGAACTAGATAAAAAAAAAACCCAATTTCATAACATTAACGTAGTATTGTATACTAAAAAGAGCGGAATTACTTATAAAAGTGCGGTTTTACGTTGTATTGTCTTGGTGTCTTCTGCGGACTTATTCCTTGAGTCAAAGAATAAGTGCACCGAAGACATTAAAACGACTCGTAAATGCGCATTTTTAAAGCGTTTCCGCACTTATTATGTGCCCAATGCGCTAGGTATATAAATAATAATAATCACCCATATTCATGTTTTCGTTCGAACCGTTAGTAGCATAGAACAAAAATTGTATGGTTCGAACGAAAACAAGAATATGGGTGCATATAGGATTCCTTTGAATTTGTCGCGTCGCGTTGTTGCGCCACTCGCTCTGGCTGTCCAAGCTTCAGGTTTTCCATACAATATTACTGAAATTTATACTTACCGCTTCCCGAACTCCTGGATCATCGTAACCAAGATCGATGTACGGAAGCGCATCAACAAGCACTTCTCCTGCCATTTTAAAACTATCAGTTCTCACAAATTTAACTAAAATTAAACGTTTTTGAGATTGTTGAATCTTCTACTTCCCAACACGGCGGCGTAAAACAAAACAAACGTCATGACACCCACTCAAAAACCCATATAGCCCCTGCAGCAATAATATTCTGACAATCACCCATTGAACTGAAATTTCCGGCGTTTTGACAGTTCGAAGCTAGCGGCGAAAGGCCTCTTCGGAGCGTTTCCGCTTTCGCTATTTCTTTTTCAGTCCTCCGTGGCATGGCGGACGTGCTTTAACGATTTGAAGTCGTAATTAGTTTTTGAATTTTCGAGTGAAGTCGTGATCGAAAATGGTTAGTATCGGTGAAAAATAATTCGGAAAATACAATGCAATCGAATGGTGGTGAAAACTGCGGAGACGTAATATCGATTTTTGAAGAAATTTCGGTTTTTGCACGTGTTTGACAGATTGATTAAATTGTGCGACCGAAAGGCTCTTGTGTTGATGCGCCGTGGGATGGGTTTTCAAGGGTCAGGATGATGGAAAGGATAAAAATTTGAGCATCCGGTGGGGTGCATGGAGTCTAGGATCTAAAAGCTACTGGAACTTGATTCGGCGTAAAGTGTATGAACGGAAATCGATTGTTTACCGTGGTTTTTCACCGGAATCGTTCGATGTGTTGTGATTTGTTTATCATCACGTTCTTGTGTAGTCCCAGCACTAACCTCAATGCATTTCCATTTTCGGTTTTCAGAGTTTGACGGCATCTCGCCCGCTGGTCAGCATCTATTCTGACAAGAATGAAGCCCTGAAGGATAAGAACCTCACCTTGCCGTACGTGTTCAAGGCACCAATCCGGCCCGATGTAGTGAGCGAAGTTTCGCAGCTGATGCGCCGCAACAAGCGCCAGGCATATGCCGTGAGTGAAGCCGCCGGTCACCAGACCTCGGCCGAATCCTGGGGTACTGGTCGTGCTGTTGCCCGTATTCCGCGTGTCCGTGGTGGTGGTACTCACCGCTCCGGCCAGGGTGCTTTCGGTAACATGTGCCGTGGTGGACGTATGTTTGCCCCGACCAAGACCTGGCGCCGTTGGCATCGTAAGATCAACGTAAACCTGAAGCGCTACGCTCTGGTTTCTGCAATCGCCGCTTCCGGTGTTCCGGCTCTGGTGCAGTCCAGAGGTGAGTTAATTGCGATGGGAGTCGAATGGAACAAGATGTTAATTTGTTTTTATTTATTTTTTCTAGGACACGTCATTGACGGAATTTCGGAATTGCCCCTGGTCGTCTCGGATGATATCCAGAAGTTCCAGAAGACCAAGCAGGCCGTCGTTTTCCTGCGCCGTTCCAAGGTCTGGGCCGATGTCCAGAAGGTGTACAAGTCGCAGCGTATGCGCGCCGGTCGCGGTAAGATGCGCAACCGTCGTCGCGTCCAGCGTCGTGGTCCGTTGGTCATTTACGCTAAGGATGAGGGTCTACGCAAGGCATTCCGTAACATCCCCGGTGTTGATACGATGAACATCAATCGTATGAATCTGCTGAAGATGGCTCCAGGTGGTCATGTTGGCCGTCTGTGCGTCTGGACCGAATCCGCTTTCGCCCAGCTGAACGAAATTTATGGCACCTGGAAGAACAAGTCCACTGTCAAGAAGGACTACAACCTGCCAAACCCAATCATGGGCAACACCGATCTGGCCCGTCTGCTGAAGAGCGAAGAAATCCGCAAGGTCCTGAAGCCGGTTAAGAAGGCTGTCCACCGTCACGTGCGTCGTCTGAACCCGTTGACCAACACACAGCAGCTTATCAAGCTGAACCCGTACGCCCAGGTAACCAAGCGTCGTGCTCAGTTGGCCTCTAAGAAACGCAAGTACGAGCGCATCATCGCCTCGTTCAAGGCCCGTGGAATCGAGCTGCCCAAGAAGAACAGCGCGTTCAAGTTCTTGGACCAGGATAAGAAGCGTGTGGAGAAAGTGACCAAGACCAAGGCAGCTCGCATGGCCAAGGTCACCGCCCTCAAGGCTGAGAAGCTGACGAAGCGTGTGGCGAAGCACAAGGCACAGGAGAACGCCAGACGAGCTCGCAAGGGATTGCAACCACTGAAGGGCAAGAAGTAAACAAGCTCGTAATTTAGAAAGGGGAAAGGAGGTGTGTGTGTGGATATGCTTCTTTTCAATACTTTGTTTATTGATAATAATGTGTAAGGAAATAAATGCTGAGGAGTGCATACCTGTGGTACACGAGAATAATAAGTCTTATTTTTACGATTGTACAAACATAATTCTAATTTGTTTCATTTGTTGCGTTCTCGGGATTCGTCCAAATTGTTCTGGCCCCGGTTCTGGTGCTTCGCCAATATTAGTCATCTAGGCAACGAGTGGTAGCCAGTTTCTCTCGAAAACTCCGCTTCGGCAATTCTTTAATGGACAAATGCAGGGGTCGTGTAGACAAGTGGAATGCAGATAACACCCTAAGCGTTTCAAAATTTACAGTGATTTATCAAATCCAATGAGCAAGGAATCAAAAATGACAAGAGATAAACGAGCCGAACAGTAACGCTATGTCTGAAATGGCAAGCGATATTGGTACCTATAATCCTCTTCCCTTTTGTCATGAAAAACTGCCTTTGCAATATAGCTCGCTCGGACTGGTAGAAGAAAACGACCAAATTGTTGGCAATGGGAATATATTTGTAATGACTTTTCTCGATTCCGGACAAGCTGTGTCCTCAACCGTGGATATTGCAACAACGCAGGAAAGCAATACATATATCTCGGTTACTTTTTCAAAGGGACGTATCAGCTTTTGTAAATATTATCATGTTTGAGAGTTTATCGTGGTATGTAGTCAGTGCTGCAAAATCTCGACAGTACACGGTGATATTGACAATTCTGCTTTGGTCACTCATTTGAGATAACAGTCATAGTCAAGGCAAACCATGTCAATTGTCAATGACAATGGTGTCAATGACGAACATGTGCAGATTTGTTTATTAGCTAAATTTGTAACGAAATTAAATGACTTGAGCAAAACAATTACATGGATCCATTTTAGTGAACAAGTATCTACGTCCTGAGCTACTTGGATAACAATAATGTGACACAGAATGTACTAATGTCGTTTTTGTTTTTGCGGTGTAGCACTGGTGTAGTGTAATAGTACGTTCAGACTACAGAGTTATAACACGTTATAGCGCTATCTTGATGGTGGTTTCTGTGTTGCACTTATTTGACAACCGTTATAACATGTTATAACTCTCCAGTCTGGACAGCGTTTAAAACGCCGTCCAGACTGGAGAGTTATAACATGTTATAACGGTTGTCAAATAATTGCAACACAGAAACCAACATCAAGATAGCGCTATAACATGTTATAACTCTGTAGTCTGAACGTACTATAAGCAGGAATAAGCGCGAGTCTTGTAGTGTAGCGGCAGTGTAGCACCGGTGTAGCTACACCGCAAAAACGAAAACGACATAAATTACACTTTTTGTTACCAGGTGAATCTTTGTCATTGACGAAAAAATGAATGAGATTTTGACGAAGGTTTTTTTGAGGATCAAGTCTGTCAGTGTCTATGTGACGAACAATTTTGTCAATATCGCGCGAAAGTCTGTCAATGACAATGACAAATCTCAGCACTGTATGTAGTAGAAAGCGTTTTGACTTTGGTCTTTGGTTGCTTTTAAATTATATGTTTTTATAGAAATTAGCTGAATGTCCGGTAATGTCTAATGAGACGTAAGGACCGAATCCATGGGCGTAGCCAAAAGGGACAGAGAGGGTCGAATGCCCTCACCTAAACAACATATTTTTTTTTAATCTTCAGATTTCGAAAATATCTAGAATCATGAATATTTTTCAAAGGCCAGGAACGTTACTGTGCCACTACTTTTGGATGGTAAGAAAACTAAACTTAGAAATTATTTTAGAAACCTTGAAAAAAAATTAGATCCATGGAAAAAATTTTGATAACCGAATGGTCAATTTGACCTGTCACTTGAGGGAGCCAATCGAGCATTACTGTTTCTTGAACAACTATTCCTGAAGGGGATAAAGTGAATACGGAGGTGTATATCGGCATTCTTAGTAAGTATGTCCTTCCGTGCCTTACTGAACAGTATAGGTTAGAGCCGAATATGGTCTTTCAGCAAGACCGGAGCACCATGCCACACCTCGAACCGCACGCAGAATTGACTGAAGCACACAGCAGATTCAGTGAGTCAATATGTATATTAGTGCACGTGATGACTGGATTCTGAACTAATCTGATCACCAACCAAACAACCTTGGTCACATGAACAACTTTTCCGAAGCCGGAAGGTCCATACATATCGTGATATCGTGATATAATACAGCAGATTCAGAAAGTCAATATGAATACTAGCGCCACGTGGTGAGTGGATTCTGAACTAATCGACCTTGGTCACATGAACAACTTTGCCGATGACAGAAACTTTCTATATGGACAAGCTCTCAAGATATAATAGATACAGTATATTCACATACAAACAGACATAACGCTCGCGAGTTGTTCATCGAAAAGGCATTTAACGGTCAATTTAAAAGTATCGTAGTTGGTAGTACCTCCACCTGTGGCACGCATAGTCAGTTCCCTTGCGTTTGACGTTTACACACTACCGCCATAGAGGTAACTCTAAGACTAGAAGGTCCCGAAGAAACGTGCTCAACTTTTTGGCTCAGCTCTGGTACTATTTTCGGTCCCAAGCTAGTCGATTCACCCCTCGAAACATAGGAAGATCCAATAACCCCTCATTTTATCTGTCAAAATTTCATAGCGAATCAAAACAAACATTGCGTAGTACTAGAATTTCGACTAGAATAGGGTACGTTAATCGATTTGCTTGGGACCAATAGGCTAGTCAAGTAGTGAGCCAATTTAAAATCGTTAGTTTCGTATTGATTGTTGCTACCGCCATCTGTTCAGCGTACTACCCACCACAGTGTACTCAACAGGCGGTAATGTTTTAGCGACGATGTTTTACCAAGTTACCTCTATGGTTTTACAGTGAGAAATATTCAATGTGACATAACACATTGTCTGTGGTATATTTATA